CCGACAATCTGATTTAATTAACTTCAGGTCAGGTTGAGTCATTATCTTCAACTGGATTATAACCCCTACTTATGCGAGTCCTTTGATAAATTTGGAGATTGCACTTGATTAACGCTGATGAAATCAAAGTTACAACGAGGTAAGTTTTAGAAACGCAAATAAGTAACGAGGCATTCATTTTCCAACTAATCCCAACTGCGCTTTATCTCTAAGTAGACTTTAATTCGCGACGCAGTTGCCAAAGTACTTATTAGGGAGTGCCAAAAATACAAAATTCTCCAACTTCACCAGGACGCACGCTTCTGAAATATATACGGCGGGGAGTTCGCGGGAAGATAGGAACGCGCGGACAGAGAGGAAAACATTAAAGTCTCTACGTTAATTGATGTTGGTGCAACCAGCTCTTAACGCTCGACGGCGATTAAAAACCTCCGCCACGATCTAACAATGTGTTCCACATGATTATTGCTAAGGTTCAAGTGATATCCAGGCCGCGTTCGCGGTGCAGATTTTAAACGCGGTTGCATCCATTTCTTCGGGACAGGTCGGAGTGAGCGGAACCGGGCTATCAGCGCCCGCATTTGCACTTTACTTTTCCCCGTCAGGAAACATCGAGTAACTCCCCGTCGCGTAAAAGTCGAAAAGTTCCTCATTCCGACTTGTCAGATCCAGGACACGGTTCGAGGCATGCTACAAAATGATGTTTCACGTTCCGCAACGAGCAACGTCCACAATTCCGCGGGGCGGGCATGCACGCAAAAGTTATACATAATCGAGAATGTCATAAAGTCTAAAGTACGTGGAGTATAGAGTGTTACCAGCAAAAATGTATCTATCTTACGTAGTAACGGTGATAGTAGTGTGAAATCGAGCTTTTTAAAGTACCTTACCTTAGTAACAGAGAGGTATAAAAATAATGAGCTGATTGACGATTCGTCCGGAATTCCCCGTGCGAGTAACTTTCAAAGTAAGAGACTGAAAAATGCACAAGTAAGTCAAGCGACCGTGACAAAGTTGTGTCGTTTAAGTCGCAAGTTATTTCTCTAGATACTATTTTCTTATGGCGCTACTAATGATGATAACAGTAATATATTTCTCGAATATATGTCTACATGTACGAACGATGAAGAACATACTTCCAGGCGAATTATTTTTTTGCTGCACAAGCCAAACATTGCGCACGCGATGCAATGTTTATTTATGTTTTAGCACTTTGTATAAATATAATATATCTCGTTAGAATTCTCACGCAAAAATTAATTAATTAATTCATAATATTTAGTATTTTAATTTATTCTACATTTTTTTGTTATTTATTCCATAAAATTATAATCCTTTATAATTTTATACGATATATGCCGTATATGATATTTGCGTTAATCTGAATATTGTGCTAAATCGTAATAAAAAAAGCTAGAGTTCTCGATAATTATATAACGACTACTAGGATAACTACTAGATTGGAAACGAGAAATAATACCAAGTTTTTCATGTTTTCGATGACATCCGAAGTCCTCGGATAAATCTTCGCGACGTGACTCCGGGATGTAGGTAAATTTGCTCTCCGGTGTAAAATACGCGTCATGAAATAGTCGTTATTTAAACGGGAATCGCAGTTCTAATGAGCAGCGCGCGTGCACGGCACGTGTTGATCTTTGCTTGAAATGTTTATACTCGCATTAGGGGGAACTACTAGCGCTCTCGAGGCGGATGAATTCCCATTGTTGTTTAAGGTTGATTAAATGCCAGGTCGCGCGTGACAATTAGAACAGCTCCATGAGTTCCGCAGCTTCGAGTCTAACATTAAAGCTTCTTCCGGCAGCGATTCGTTTTCTTGCGTGTTTCACCAGTATCGTGGCGTTTCGCCAACATTTGCGCGACTTTATGTCTCGTCAGCGAACGAGGTGGTCTGTTGCACGAACAACTTTTTCCGTCTCTCCGCGTGCTGCCGCTCGAAAAACTAGTTTTTCAAGCTACTATTATTGCCTTTTAAACAAACTGTTCTTCTTGCTTTTATAAATATTGCCTCTCGTCGTTTTGCATCTCAAGGAGAAACGCGCGTCGACGGAGAGAGTGGCAGGAACGTATTAGTTTCATCGATTTTGCGGTCGCGCATCCGTCGCGCGGACAGATGACGGTCCAGACATAAATGTGAAAAGTAATGATAGATATCGAGGCATTATTTCGCATGTGATACTTGCTAGAAATTTACTTGTTTACGCGCGTTCCAAATATTGAGGGAAGTTGACAGCCGCAGGCACTTCGCGAGCTCCTTGATGCGGGCACGATTTGGAGCGGAACTCTAACACCGTCGCAAAGTTCGTAACGTCGCGAAAGTTAGCGAAGCAATTCTCTCAATTGAACGGGTATCGGGAGCGCGGGTCTGAATGCCCTTTACTCCGATACGGAATTCCTATCTGAGTATCGCTCGGTATCGCCAAGATGTAAGCGTTATTTCGTGAAAGCGTCACATCGAAATATTCTCCGAGTCGAGATACGAGATACGATAAAACTGATAAACTTACACGCGATTATTAGCGGTTGTCCGTGCCGGTTTTACCGATTTAACTTCCGTGTGATTTGCAATCGAGAATGCGAAACTCGCATTCGAATCGAATAAAAGGAAGGACAATTTGCCGGGAAACTTTTACTTAAAAGACGCTCCAAGTTTCGCGGCGGCGATCTGCTTACGTAAAATCCTGATCGACGCAAACATGACAAATAAATCTTTGAGAGACGGACGCGAGTTTAACGTCGGCGACATCGTCCTGAAAACTACTTTGCTTTTTCCAATTATGCTGAAAGTCAACAAGTCGATGTTATTGAAACGGCGAGTTCGTTTATTTCAAACTTTAATCACTTATTTTTATTATACTGCAAATTAATAGAAGCATTGAGCTCTCTATACACACACACACACACACACACACACACACACACACACACACACACACACACACACACCGACACCGACCCCACCA